TGCAATTAGACATCTTTGTTACTTTGTTCAAACCCTCTTACAATGAAGCTAGTGTATTTAGCCTTTCGAACTTCTTGCTGCAACTGATTGTTTGGTTTCAGTGACTGGGGTAAAAGGACACAAAGGTTCTTTTCTTTTTAAAAGTCAACATTTCCCAATCTATCATCATTTAATTAATATTCTGCCACTGTGTTCTTCTTACAACTTTACACTCATCCACATTATACTGCACATTGTGAATACCTGAGGCTCAAGCATTGCTCCCTACAATATTCCACTAGCCACTACCTTCCTATCTGAAAATGACTGTTTATTCCTACTGTCTGTTTCCTGGCTGCTTACCGGTTCTCAATCCATGCTACTATATTATCCCATGTGTTTTCATTTTGCTCACAAATCTCTTCTGTGGGACTTTGTTAAACGCTTTATGAAAATCGAAATGCAGTACATCCACACACTCTCCCTCATCTATTCTACTGTTAATGTCTTCATAAAACTCTTGTTAGGTTTGTTAAAAATGATTTCCCTTTTATAAATCCATGTTAAATTTGTGTAATTCTATTATGTTTTCTGTTTGAAAATTGACCTTGTACTACGAGGTTTGGACTGCTCTCTCTGCTCATTTTTGTTCCCATATTTTGTTTGCAACCTTTTCCATTTGTATAAAATATCAATAATTTGAGCTAAAATTTGATAGAGCCTAGTCCATTTCAGTTCACTCCTTATGCCCGCTTTAGTGAGCTCTGGAATATACAATGTATAAGTGGGTTTAGCTGACAATGATTCTAATGGATCTGGTTTCGAACATTTCTAGCCTGGCAGAAGCACGTTGAAGCTCCAGTTCAATGTAAAGTGCAGGTGGGCATGTCAGGAGTAGCACAGGCACACCTAAAAATGAGCTGCCAACCTAGATAAGCTACCAAACAGGTATACTTGCATGAGAAACAGAGTAAGCATCAAGTGATAGATAGATCTAAGTGATCCCAGAAACATCAGATTGGATCAAAGCTCTGCAGTCCTGCCACATCCAGTCATGAATGGTGGTGAACAACTAAGTAACTCACTGGAGGAGGAGACTCCACAAATATTCCCATCCATGATGTAAGAGCCCAACACTGTGCATAAGATATGGCTGAACCAGCAATCTTCAGCCAGAAGTGCCAAGTGGATAATCCATCTCGGCCTTCTCCAGTGGTCCCCAGCATTACAGATACCAGTCTTCAGCCAATTTGACCTACTCCATATGATTTCAAGAAATGGTTGGAGACACTGGATACTGCAAAGGCTACGGGCCCTGACAACGTTCTGGCAATAGTACTGAAGACTTGTGCTGCAGAACTTGCCACTTCCCTAGCCAAGCTGTTCCAGTACAGTTACAACACTGGTATCTACCCAACAATGTGGAAAATTGCCCAAGTTTGTCCTATACATAAAAATCATGAAAATTCCAACCCAGCTAATTACCGCCCCATTAGTCTCCTCTCGATCATCAGTAAAGTGATAGAAGGTGTCATCAACAGTGCTATCAAGCAGCACCTGCTCGGCGACGTCCAGTTTGAATTCTGCCAGAACCCTGATTTCATTATAGCCTTTGTTCAAACATGGACAAAAGAGGTGAATTCCAGAGATGAGGTGAGATTGGGAGCCCTAGAAAAACTGGAATCAGTGGGTATTGGGGCAAAGGCTGTGCTGGTTGGAGTCATTTCTGACACAAAAGAAGATGATTGTCATTGTTGGAAGTCAATCATCTCAGCTCCAGGACATCCTCTGCAGGAGTTCCTTAGGGTAGTGTCCCCAGATCAACCATCCGCAGCTGCTTCATCAATGACCTTCCCTCCATCAGAACATCAGAAGTGGGGATGATCACACAATATTCAGCACCATTCATAACTCCTCAGAAACTGAAGCAGTCTATGTTTAAATGCAAGAAACTCTGGACAATATCCAGGTTTGGGCTGACAAGTGGCAAGTAACATTTGCACCACAAAAATGCCAGGCAATGACCATATCCAGTAAGAAAGTGTCTAACCACCACCCCTTTACATTTTAATGCTGTTAGCACCACTGAATCCCTTGCTATCAACATCTTGGGGGTTACCATTGACCAGAAATACAGCTGGACTCACCACATAAATACAGTGGCTACAAGATCAGGTCAGAGGCTGGGAATATTGCAGTGGCTAGCGCACCTCTTCTCTCCCCAAAGTCTGTCAACCATCTACAAGGCATGAGTCAGAAGTGTGATGGAATGTTCCCCTCTTGTCTCAGGGTGCAGGTCCAACAACATTCAAGAAGCTTGACACCACCCAGGATAAATCAAACTGCTTGATTGGCACCACATTCCTCCACCATAACGCTCAGTCACAGTGTGTACTATCTACAAGGTGCACTGCAGAAATTTACCAAAGATCCTTAGACAGCATCTTTCAAAAGCCCACGACCACTTCCACCTGGAAGGACAGGGGCAGTAGATTCCCCTCCAAACCATCACCATCTTGACTTGAAAATATATTGCCATTCCTTCACTGTCACTGGGTTAAAATTCTGAAATTCCTTGCTAATGGTTGTGGGTCAACCTACAGTGCATGACTACAGTGGTTCGAGAAGGCAGCTCACCACTACCTTCTCGAGGGCAATTAGAGATGGGCAATGCATGCTAGCCCAGCCAGCAATGCCTACATCCCATGAGTGAATAAATAAATAGTCAAGATGTGCACACGAGATGGGATAAGTCAGTTTCCAGCCATGTGGGCAAATAAGTGATTCCTGTTCTTTTCTTGAGCTATTAGATTGAGGCCAGTAATATGCCGTGAGATTGTGGAATTTGCATTGTTTTCACCAGTGCGTAGGCAAACAACAGTATGAGGAAGATTGTAAATAATTAATCATTGATACTAAAGCTTGAGCAAGTATCTGCAGGGAACATAATGACGCATCGCTTGCATAATTTAATATTGCCTTGCTTAGCTGCAGATGACAGCTGCAGTTTGGATATAGTTGAAGAATTGGTTAGCCTTTGTTGTCTGGTCTACTGTACTATTTTTAATGAATGTAGTAAAGGCAATTGAAGTAAAATTGATTTGTTTAAAAAAGATAAACTCTATATACTCGCATATTGTGCTTGTTATTTTGATCCATTTGTAGAATTTTGCTTGTCTTTACTAAAGCAAAGCTAAGCATTTATTTATTTCATATGTATTACTTTAACCACTCTCATTCCTTTTAACACCTAATCTTGAGCTACTTTCCAGCATTTTCGTACAAACTAGGGCTTTTGCTCAGGATTTGAAATGTCTGATTTTTTTTTTTTGTTTTGCTTTGTTTGAATAGGGGAAGCAAGGATTAGCTGATTGAGATTGTAGTTTGAATTACTTGGCTAAAACATTGGATTAAATTTGAATGATTCAAAATATAGAAAATTAAAATTTTAGTAATATAGTTATAACTATGCGCCAGATACAAAGACATAAAGAATCGAAGAATCATGACTTCTATACAAATACCAATTTGTTGTTGTTCCTTACTGCACTGAAAAATAAATGATACAAACTCAGCTCTATCATTATTACTGCCTTGGGATTGGTGGTGTTGGATGCCCTTTAAGTGATCTTAAGCCCTGTATCTACTAGTGTAACCCAGCCACGTAGCAGTGGCCATTTTATGAAATATACTAAATTTGTTTTTTGCACATGTATTATTTCATTCTCTTTTGACTAATCTCATGTTTTCAGAGATGCAAGGTAAAAGTCTCAATAGTCCCCGAGGACCAGAGAGCTGCTGTCTCATCACTAGAGAAAGATGACTGGTGGTGGTTTAACCTGAGTGTCACCATGCATCAAGTGAAGGGAGAGGTTGAGAAAGAGGGGTCTTTATGGTTATTCTAAGCCGGTATGGGAGTTTAACCCACGAGGCTAAATGTGAATTGCAAAACTGAAATTAAAGTGGAAATACAGAGCAGTTTAAGGATCCGACTTCCTTTGTTTAAGTGGTAGAACTTGTCTTCACAAAATTATGTAACATAAAGAACTCTCCATGTTTTTCCCATACCAGTAGGACACTACATTTGGCTTAAATAAGATTAATTTATTCATTTATGCTGTGCTTGAAGGTAGGTCCTTTGCTCACTGTCAACTGATAGTTTCTTTGGCAATCCACCACTGAAACTGACAATGCCCACCATTATCAGGGGTAGGTTAAGGAGGTAGGTCCCAAGTCTACCTCAGCCTGTAAGGGAATCAAACTTGCACTGTTAGCATTATCTGTAACCACCCAGTTGCCAAAAATGTTAACCAGCTCCCTCTTAAATATAATATATTCTGTCCTTCATATTTTAAAAATCTCAGCAGTGTCCTTCCCAGCTTTATCTTAACAAGAAAATATACTCACTGTCTCAGCCTTCCCTCTTCTTTTCTCCTTCCCCTTTCTCAACCTATCAGCTTTTCTAACTCTGACCTGTTCACGCAGAAATGGGAATTAAAGACATTTCCAAATAATAGGCATGTGTTTTCTGATTGCTAAGAGATTAAATGAAAATTGGTGCTGCTTCTAGTCCTGCAGCAGGAATTTGATATGTGAATGACCTTGTTGAAATTAGACAAAATTTCATGCTTTACTAAAACAATCATAGATTGATTACAATGTAGGAGGCCATTTTGCCTGTTGTGTCTACTTTAGTTGTTTGTGAGAACAGTAGAACTAGTCTCACTCTCCTCCCTGTATACCCACAAACCTTGCAAGATTTTTATTTTTAGCTGCTTATCCAATTTCCTATTGTAATCCCTGATTGAAAGTTGAAACCTATTTCCGAACCTAACAACTCAACAAATAAAAGTAATTTCATGTTCAAAATTATTGATTAAATGGCAAAAAAACCCGAGAAACTTGCCAAGTTGGTTGATTTTTGAAAAGGGCAAACAATTCTAATTTGGTGATTGCACATCATTGTATGCTATAAGACCAATAAAAGATGAATATTTTCTTCCTTGACTGCTGACTGTTAGTATATGATCATTTTGTTTTTGGTGTTTGTAGTCCAGTTCTCCATCTCCTGTGCAAGCCTTGCACTGAATGAGAATCAACAGGTGAGATAATTCTCCATTATTTTGTAAATTCAGAAGTGCTTTTCCATTTCGCCTTTGACTTGATTTGAACAAACTTATTTTTCCTTCTGCTTTGTTGCTGATTTGATGCATTGGATTTACCAACAAGCATTTTAGGAGGTTGAGCTTCTCAGTTCTGAATATAAATCACAATCACTGAAAGGCTTTATAACTTCAGTAATAGTCAAGGCTAGAATCATGTGATAGGTCAAATGAGCTAAATGTTTCCCCATTGGACAAGGCAATGGGCAGGAAGGGCGTTGCTTATGGCCTAACAGCTTTGGCCCTCATAATTTTTTTTGGTCCTTATGGAAAAGTGAGTTTTCTTGGTCTTTTTTCAAGAATGCATTAGAAGTAGTAAATCCGAGATGGTTGCATCTAACTTTGCTAAAAGGAGTCGAAGTTGAAGTTATTTGTCTTGCATTCATCAGGATTAGAATGTGAAACAACAGACTTGATAAAATAGGACACCATGGTATGGAAAGAGGGTGCTAACTGGTTCGGCCGATATTGGCTTGGAGATGCAACAAAAACAGTTAATTGCTAATCTTAATTTTCAGACCGGACAGCTCATTGGTTAGGGTGCTGCCATGAGAATGCAGCAGAGTTTGGCAATTTCTAAAATTGTCTCTGTCTCTTACCCCCACCTTTTTTTGTATAAAATCCCAATGAAAGAGATGTAATGTATGCATTCATTACTTTAGCCTATTTAAAACCAGATTCTGTCTGTTAATATATATAGCTTCTAACATGCACAAATGCATCACAAAGGAGTGTCCAACTGAGAAGCTGTTTCTGATAGTTCATATCCTATCCATATTGCAGCATGAGCTCTAATGCTTTCTACTTGTTGCCTATTGGTTACTGACGCCTAAGTCATCCTTCCCTGGACTACACTGTACCAATTTTTACACCTTCAACTGCTACTGATTTTATGTTCTGTTTCCTATTACGTTTCTTTGGATAGCTTCTTTTTCAGTACTGATTCCTTGGATGTAGCTTTCTCTCTCCATTTGTCCCTGAACTTTTCATCCCATGATTCATGTATTTTATTCTCAATGCTCTCACTCCTGTTCTGTTATAACAGAATTGATAGTGCACACTGCTGTAACAGCTGATAGAAATATGTACCTCTGCCGGACCCTTCGGTCATGATCGCTGGTTCACAGTTGTCTTTTAATTCATTGGCCTATTATTTCCCACTGTAAAGCCTCCAGCACTACACCCACTGATGCTCCGCCTTTGATTAATTTATTGCCCACTACAGACTGCAGATTTAGTTCATTAATGCTGCAAGCTATCGCACCCTGCCTGCAATTTTATTGAAGCACAGTACATCAGACTTCAACTTTGGACCCAATTGCATTGTTTTATCCATGGCCTCTGTTTAACACCAGAAAGGAAAGGTAGGATTGGAATAAGATGATATTAGAGGAGCTTTTGGTTGATGCATTAAATTGAAGTTCTGACTACCTATTTTGTCATAATTTCTGAAGTTTCTTTGTGGCATCCTGACACTATATAAATGCAAGACAACAAGGTGCAGAGCTGAATGAACACAGCAGGCCAAGCAGCATCAGAGGAGCAGGAAGGCTGACGTTTCGGGCCTAGACCCTTCTTCAGAAAAGGGTCTGAAGAAGGGTCTA